CCCAGATTAAGTCTGGCAGATAGTGGGAGTCATTAGGCCACTTGTTACACTTGCAGGTTTATAAAGACAGAACTCAGGAGAATAATTGCTAAAAACTCACCGCTCCTCCCACCCCCCCAACACAGCTTGGATTTTTATCCTTTTAAAAATTCTTCAATAAAACAAAGGCTACTGTTTTCCCTTCTTCTTGCCTTTGTTAATAATAAAATAACTCCAATGGATCATCTACAGCAAATTCTCACTTGCTTTTTCTTCACGGCAATGATTGGGCTAAGATGAGAAAGATATAAATAGAACTGGCAAGAAATTAATTTAGTGATTATCTGCAGATTTCAATATTATTTTCTCTTTCTTCACCATATACCAAAGTGAGCTTTACTACTTCAGATAATCTGCACAGGATTCCCTAAAAGCACTTTTCATGGGAAGAAACCAAACTATTCATAGTCTACATACTCTAATAGTAGAGTAATACATCAGACTAATGGGCTGCATCAAAAGTAACCAACTACCAGAGACATAAAAGGGAAAATTACTTCAAACAATTACACTTAAAACTTAGCCTTCATTTATGAGTGGCCAGTGATCTAGGCAAACAAGAAATGCTGCATGGACTGACAAGTTTTTAGAAGAATAAAAGAGCAGCTATGAATTAGTGGGAGTAGCTCTTTTACTCAGAAATTCTTGGCTAAGAATATCTATTTTAGTAAAAAGGATAACTCAGGAACTGCTCTGAGAATATTATTCTAACTATCTATGGAAAAGACAGAAAGCAAACCTGTGATTTGATTCCAATCAACAGTGTTTCAAGATACTGGTTCAAGGTCACCCCCTTCTATCATAAATTTCATCTTTCCACAGCTCCACTCCACCTTACTAAGGTGCTCAGGCTGAGCAAAGAAGATGAGAAACCTGTTAGGGCAAGACAGATCCTGGAGGAACTTATTACAAGGAGAATTATACAGTGACGGAGGGCTATCATTTTCAAGAGGATGCATGCTAAAGACAAACTTAATTTTTTAAATGGCCATTGTCCAACTTCTAGATCACCTATGCCTTCTAGGCAAACATGAATAGACCATGTTATTACTATACAAGCAACAAAATGTAGAAGACAGAGAACTACTTTATACGTGAAAGAGATGCAGGTGATTAATACTGTATCGGGCAAGCCATTTTATATGTTAGAGCTTCATTTTCCTTAACCGTATAAACACTAAATTACATGATTAATGAAGTTCCACACAGACCTAAAACTTAATTCTATATTTTTCACAGTTTAGTTTCCAGGATACAGAACACTTCTCTATCCTTATCCTTACTATTGAACTGTAATTGCTATGAGGACCTTGTCTTATTTATCTGTGAATCTCCTGCATTTTCTAATATGCTGCATATGGTACTAGATTACAATAAGTGTTTGCTGAAATAAGTTACTTTTCTCTGCATTTCTCCTTTGGCAACTTAGACATAAAACAGACAAATTAATACCTTAATCCATTAACGACACACTGGGCAAAACTTAGTCTGAAATGCTATATAATATTAGATAGCTATGCTTACAAATTATTCAATAGCTCCATATCAAGAAGTAGCAAAATATAGGTGATATAGAAG